ACCGGGCAAATATCTCTGAAAGAATAAGAACCGGCAGGGCAACAATATACAGCCTTCTCGGAGCCGGTTTACATGTCAGAAGGGGATTCTCACCCATGGTCGCATACAAGCTATGGAGAACATATGCAGTACCAAGAAGCATCTACGGACTTGAGGTGATGAACTTACTTGCCAAAGAAAAGGATATGCTAGAACTGGCAGAGAGAAAAATCCTCCGACAAATTCTAGGGCTTCCAAATAATACAGCAAATATGGCTGTCTATACCCTGGTAGGAGCAGAACCTATTGCCATCACATTAGACAAAAATCTACTTACCTTCTTCATGAATATTGTTCGAAATTCAGGAACCATAGAATGTGAAATTCTGCGTCGACAAATAGCATTCTCAGACCAAAGAGGAAAAGACTTTATCAACAGAGTGGAAAAAACTCTATCAAAATACAATTTGAAATCTAGTAGTTACTACATAGAAAAACCACTTAAGAAAATCGAATGGAAAAGACTAGTAGGAATAAAGATCAAGGAATACTGGAAAAATGAATGTCACTATGAAAAAATGGAAAAAACATCACTTAAATACATAGAGATACAGAACAATCCATTAAATGAAGCACACAATATATGGAAAAGCGTAAAAAACAATAGTAAAGATGTAAAGGCAGGAGAAATAAAAGCAAGAATAAGTACTCAAACGTACATATTACAAGCCAAAAGAGCTAAGTTCGATCCGAAAGTTAACCCGATATGTACAATCTGTGAACAGGAAAATGAAGATCTGGAACATTTTATTCTACGCTGCAAAGAATTGGAGCAAATAAGATCTAAATATTGCTCAAAAATAGAACAGACAATGGATGAAATCGATACCTCAACATACAAGAAGATCATACAAGAAGGGAATTTACTGCAGCTCATAATGGACTGTACTAGCAAGGACATAAACTGTTACTCAACTGTGTATGAAAGCATTGAAACTCTGGCTAGAAATATGTGCTACGAGATGCACATGCTGCGCACAAAAAGGATTAAAAACTTGAACACAAGTACAGTATAAATAAACTTTTTTAAAATAAAATAGTTCCCAACTTTTCCATCTTACTATTTTATGACGTATTAGGACCAAAATTAAATAAAAAAAAACAAAAAAACAAAAATTTTGCAAAGTTTTAAGATATCCAGTTACCTTTAAAGAATAATGATAAGATCCGAAATAAGGTAACCTTAAACTGTGAAGGTAAACTTATGTATATATGATGAATTGTTCTAAACCCCAACCCTTTTACATAAGTCCTATAAAATAACCTTCTCATTATAAATTCTGATGTACGTATAGCACCTTTAACTAACAATTATAAGAAAGTTTAATTTAAGACCACTTAAATTCTAAATTCTTATATGTAAATATATCCAGTTCTTACTTAACTTATTCTTACACTTCAGCACATTATGAATATTATTTTTAAAAATTCATGATGACAATCCTATGAATTAGTTATAATATTAATTTATAGTAATTATTATTGCCTAAATTCAGTCATCTGTACATAATTAAATGCTTACTTATGTTCTAAGGTGTATATAGTTGCTACAATTATACCCTATGGGTAGTGCTCCACAATTAATGGAGGAATATACAAGAAACTGTAACTGTTAGGAGTACAGAAACATTTTTTACAAAATAAATTTGTTATTCATAGTACGAGTACAGAAGTGTAAATTTGTTCATCATACTAAATACTAATCAAAGGTGGTACACATTAAAAATAGTAAGACGAGATATAACATAAAATAAGTAAACATTGAATTACAGAAATGCATTACAAATTGTGTCAACAGGTCAAATTAACACGAAAGTACGATTTGAGAGTACTCGCAGTTACTGAAAGCTAGTTAAAAGCCAAAAACAATTACTCATAAAAAATCATGCATCAGCGACTAAAATCAATTAAAACACATCCCAGGCATGGATTTAGTGTTTTAACGCCATGGACAGTCAAAGAAGACTTGTGCAATGCCAAAATAAAAGTATCGACAGGCAGTACGATAGTTAGGATTTAACCTAATAATAAATATGTATGATGTTATGTATAGATAAAACAATTTCTAAATAGAAATAAACGTGAATGTGTATATATAAATCCCAAAAAAACTTTCGAAAAGAAAACAAATTTAGTTAAGTTTTAATTTGTTGATGACAAAATCGATGTTAGTGCCAATGAAAACAACATTCAAAGATCTCATTACAACATTAATAAGATAGCCTTTACATATAAGTTTGTTTACAGGTTCGATAAGTTTACACGGATCACATAGTGATTTCTGCGCTTTGAGTACAATATTTCCGTAAAATTTAGGATGTGAAATACCATTTTTAATAAGTTTAGGTACAGCCAAATTTACTAATCAAGTATTTGTATCTATGAAAGTATTTAGTAAATATCTTAAGTAATTTATGGTAACGAAATCCCTGACTTAATAATTTACCAGTGATACATTGATTACGTTCGTTAAAATCTATGACAACACTACACACACGGGCATAACGAACGAGTTGGGATATATAGACAACCGTATGATGGAGCTAAATGATCATCGCCGTCTAAAAAGGAAAATTAACAATAGGGAATGAAAAATCGTCTCTTTTGTCGTAAATTGTTGTATTGAGTTTCCCTTTAGAAATTGAAATGTCTAAATCTAGAAAAGGACAACTACTGCTGTTTATGTTAGATTTATTTAAAGTAAGTTCCTTGGGTAAATTTCAGTAGTATATTTAGAGAATTCTGGATTATTTAATGAAAAAAATATCATCAAGATAACGGAAGGTATTGTTGAATGTGTCAACTAAATGTAACAATGACGTGTCTTTACTGATTTTGTCCATAAACTGATTCATAGCAATTCAGGAATAAATCTGCTATTAAAGGGGCGCAATTAGGGCCCATGGGAATACCTACTACCATTTATCGCCGAAACGTACATATATGTTGTCCAGAAGAAAATTTAAAGCTTCAATCATATCTTCACATTTCCAGTAAGTGTATCTAGCATACTTTCCTTTTTCGTTACATAAAAAGGCTTTACATGAGTTACAGCAAATAAATTTGCAATGAGATTTTTCAAAAGACCATTTAATTAAATATGAAAACTTTTTCTTGATAAGATTGTGTGGAAGCGTAGTGTAGAGAGTAGAAAAATCATAACTGTCAACAGAATTATAAGGACCATCAAAAGCACGTATTTTATCTAAAAAGATGAAACGAAATTCAAATGGTTGTTTGTGTAATTTAGGTAACCAGTACATAGTTGGGACTTTCAAATTTTCGGAAGAGGCTTTAAGCTGGGTAGTGGCAGTGATATGCTTGTTTACAATTTGACTCTCTGTGGAGCGTACGGACCTGAATGTAGAAGAATTGATAATTTCGTTTTGGAGAACTTCCGTGTAGTATATGCGTCACACCACCACTACAATATAAGCCTGGTATCTTTGATGAGTAAAAAACTACTGGCTCGATGCCACTGTTGGTGGACGTTTCGTCTCCAATGTTTAAACCACCCAGTCGTCAGTAGTTTGTGTGTGACATAAACAAAAAACAAATGATATGATAATTTTCTGTAAATTTACTGTTTATAAAAAGTAAAATTATTCGAAACACCATGGTTTTTCTACTGACTTGGCAAGTTTACCGTAGCCGTATTTTGTGAAATTTTGTTTGATGAATGCGCTTTAATTTCGGAATTGATTTGATCATACAACTGGATATGATTCGAGCGCATCGGGTGAGTTTTGTGTTCACGAAAGTGCGTCTGGCGTGCCAAACTATAAGCCTGGTATCGTTGATGAGTTTCAACAACTACTAACTGGATCTTTGAACGTTGTTGTTATTAAATGCTTTTCAACTTCGTATTTGATTTAACCTCCAACCTATTTTGATTCGAGCGCCTGGTGAGTCTAATGTAGGCAAACGTGCGGTTGCGTACAAAATCCTAAGCTTGGGATATTTGATGATTTTTTTCACCTCAATGTTGTTTAAAAAGGATTAGTGCTCATTTTGCTTTACTTTTAAGTTTTATTTTATTTTATTTTATCTTGATTTAACTTAACATTGTCTAATCCTTTGTCTAAAAAAGCACCTTGTTTCCATTTTAAACATTAATATTCGAAATTAAGTTCGAAAGTTTTACGGATGCAATCACTAGTTGTCCCTTATGGAATATCTATGCACAGATGACCACGGAAATGTTCATATTGTCGTTACCACAAACCCGTTCTCTTTCCCTCTATTGTGACATTACCGAATGAGACTTATCACCTTATTTGTACTTAGTATGAACATGACGGGTGCCACTAATGGAACAGAATCTTCCTTCCCGTCGGGAGCACCCGAAATCACACCGTGTGTTTGGTGGAGCTCGCGTTACTCAGTCTTTAGTTTTCTATGTTTTGTAGTGTTGTGAACCAGTTAGTCTTTTCGTTGTCTTTCGGTTTTTGCCATGGCGTTGTCAATTTATCTCGACTGATGTCCCCCTCGGTATAGTTCGCTTCCATTTAAAGGGTTCTAGAATTTATATGTACCAACAGTCAATTCCCTTGGTGTTGTATTAGATTTACACAAAAGCTAGAAAATTAGCAATCTGATGCTGTGCGATACTTTATATCTTTATCATGTGCGGATATCTTTGTGATTAAACAGAGACAGCACGATGGGTGGCATTTATGAAGCAGCAATTGGTGACCATTCAAAGCATCTAAGTTTACACTGTATGTTTGGTCTTTTACTGTGATACTTACCACGTTTGATTATGAAACAGTTCACTGAATTTGAAAAGACATGGTAATGGAAGGATGTTAATGAGAGATAAATGTCAATATACATGTATCCTAAGAAATAACCAACATATCAAAAGAACAGGTCTTGTAACCTTTAATTTGCATACAAACAAAAAAACTGTGTTGATTGGATGATACCAGTCTGATACAATACGATATGTCGTACATACTCGAAATAATTCAATCTTTGTTTATAAGACTTCGCCTGATAGACATACACAGAATCCTTAGATATGTTGTTTTAATTGCCGTACGAAGCTTTGAAATACAACACGATTACAAACTGTATTAGTATTATAAGCTGAAGAGGCTTTCATTTTATTAGAGCTACAGCTGGCGAAGGATTTCTTTCACAATAAATCACGGCTGATTTCATGAAATGCACTTATTTAATTACATAGATTAATATTAATTCTATGTTTATTTGATATATTGTCAAGCTAATTAGTTTTTGCAGTTCATTCATATATAACACAATTTTCTTATGTTTCACAATCGTACCGAAATCATAAACAGTTATGTGAATTTCAAGAGTATTATCATTTTAGACCACGAAATAGAAATGAATATGACTATAATAATTCATATTTTACTATTTGTGAATGAAAATCGTCTGCCCAGATCACGCTGCATAACATTGTTTTACTGTAATTTGTTGAGCTTTGACGTCGTAGATACTATTTTGCCACGTTAAGCTCAAGTATATCAACAATGAAACAATTGCTTTCTTATAGTTTCAAGATAATAATAAACTGTGCATGGCTCTTGTCACCTTCTACATATGTGAAGGACTTAATGGTTTCTGCTATCCATACGAGTTACCTTCTACACATGTGAGGGGCTTGATGATCTCTGCGATCCATACGAGTTCATTTCAATAACATTTTTATGATTGACAAGTGACGTATGACACGTCTTACTTCCTTCGTCTCTAAGTTCTGTCGCGTACCGATACGTTTGTGATCGGCTAGTTCCGCGTCTCCATAAAACACAAGCACATATGGTCTTTTTAAATGTTTCCTTAAACTTTTTCGACATGAATGTATATATGATAGGATTAATACTGCTGTTGGCATATGCCATAATGTAAAAAGCTTCGCGAATATGTTTATGGTGGCCTTCATGGAGATCTGGTAAAACTTCAAATCCGATTAAAACATTGTTGATTTGTAATGGTGCCCAACAAATGATAAAAATTACAATCACAGCAACCAACATTTTTATGACCTGTACAAAAGAAAAAAATATATAAAAATTACACATTAACAGTAAATTCGCTGAGAAAACGGTTTGAATAAAGATAAGAATTTTATTAATCTAATCAAGAACCCATAAAGGGCATCATTTACAACAATATTAAGCACAATATGATTGGAAAAAAGAAAAACTAGATCCTAATATAATACTATCATATTATGGACAGGATCAGAGCCTAACACATCATGTGTCTTACATAACTATAACAATAATTTCATAATAATTAAATATTATTTTATATATTTTGTATCCACCTGGATCTTATTTCTAAACACTTAATTATATAATTGCCTAGGCACATAAGAGTTGGTAAATGCTCATTTGTGAACAGCCAGAAATATTTTTTATCCTTGGGTAATTCTTTAAAATTATTACAAAAACTGTTTACTTTATCCCATAATAATTTTCTCTGTTCGTTATATAAAGGACAACTTACTGTGAAATGGGTCTCATCTTCAATAGAATTTGATCCATGTGATAGGCAGTGATGGCATAGACGCTGACTTCTCTCTATGTATTTTTTACTATATCTATCTTTCTCAATTTTAAAATCATGTGCACTTATTCTCAATTTACATATAGCTCTTCTTATATTAAAATCTTTAATTGATAAATAAGCCTCCTTTACGAAGTCAGTCTTGAGGTTGAAATAATTTTCTAATTTACTATTACCTTGTGATAAGGTATCAGATCTTTTGACCACCCAAAATGTTTTAAAACTGTTACAAAGTTTACATTTTACAAATTTAATTAATTTATTGAGCTTTGTATTCAAATTTTGTATATCAAGTGATTGAAGGACATATCTCATAGATGAATACCAACAATTAATGTTTCCTGCATCTAAAATTTTATTACAAACATAAGCATCATAAAGTAACCCATCGTCCAATTTGTTAAGCCTGTGTACATATTTTACCATAGATATAATGACAGAAAAATAAAGAGGAAATCTTGCAACCTCTGATAACACTGCCAAATTTGAGGCTTTTTTATTTACACCAAGAATATATTTTAGATACCTGAAATGTGATTTTTCCAAATAATCATTTATGTAAATTAATTTAAATAGATAATCACTTTTTTTCTTGCAAGCAGCAGAGTTAATCTTAAAGGTACCCCAGATTTCACTACAATATAATAAAATTGGTTTTATTGTGTGATCATATAAATGGATTGCAGTATCAATACTTGGATTACAAGCTGACATGGATTTTTGTAGTTTAAATTTTGCCTTTAAGGACTTTTTGAATAGCTCATCTTTCCCCTGCTGAAAAAGACCACTAGAAGTAAAGACTATCCCTAAATATTTATATCTGTTAACACATTCTATAGCCTCATTATCTAAACAAAGTGATTCCTTCAAAAATTTTCCAGGCTTGTTAAAAATTAAAACTTTTGTTTTGGACTAGTTTACATCTAAACACCAATCAATACAATAAGTGTGCAGTTTATCAAGTCGGTTTTGAAGACCCTGTTTAGTGTTTGATAATATAATAATGTCATCGGCGTACATAAGACAATCAATTCTACGCCCATTGATATAAACAGCATCTGGACTCGACTCAAATCTTGGAGGCAGATCGTTAATGAAAAGTTTAAATAAATTTGGGCTTAGAACATCCCCTTGCCTTACCCCAACTAGCGAGCTGAATGATGGCGTTAGTACATTACCCACTTTCACCGACATTTCATTTTTTCTGTACATATCTTTTAAAATAGTATAAAATTTTCCAGATATGTTATTTTCCAATAATTTGTATTTAATACCACAGTGTATGACCCTATCAAAAGCCTTTTTAAAGTCCACAAAGCAAGCATAAATTTTTCCCCCTTTTCTTTTAGTATATTTATCTAATATGGTTTTTAAAACAAACATATGGTCAGATGTTCTGCTCTTTTTTGAAAAACCAACCTGACATGGATGAATTATATTATTTTTATCAAGATGAATGTCAAGTCTTTTATTAAGAATACTGTTAAATAATTTTCCAATGCATGAATTAATTGCTATGCCTCTGTAATTTTCAGGTTTACTAGGACTCCCTGCTTTAAAAATTGGACATAAATAAGACAATGACCATTTGCGAGGGTATGTTCCAAAGCAGAATATCAAGTTAAATATTAGTTGAATATTAAAGTGGCGTACCTTTTTTAATAAACTATCGAATTACTAATACTAAGGGGAAAAATCCAATAGCTGATCTTTCACATTACATTTAACGTAGCTGAACTTTAGAAATATAAAATATCAATAGCTTTACATCAACAGCAAAAATGAGGCAAGACTGATTATATAGATATAGGAAGATGTGGTATGAGTGCCAATGAGACAACTCTCCATTCAAGTTACTATTTATATGTTATAATCGCTATTTAGATTCCACTCACCTGCTTTTTACTTTTATTATCATCACGTGACTTTCGAGGTACTAAATATGGAGAACTATCTGTATCTGTATTTGAGCCATTCGATGAGGTTAACCTATAAAAAGTATTAAGAGGTTCATAATACATCTTAAGTGTAAATGGAAATTAAAAATCTGGAACTCCTAGTTCAATTTGTTTATTCCACTTTTTGTAAACACACTCTGTGAACACTTTATATGAATATTGAACGTACTAATTCCACTTGTCAAAGTTAAGCTAATTTTTTTAATCGCCGCATGAATACAATTTTGCATGTGTACAAATTTATGTTTGTTATATAAAGCTTATAAATATATTTATTATTTCATGGATGTTCTACACGTGATCGAAAAAGCCTTTTCAAAAGTAATTATGCTATTCCAAATGAAATACACTTGAAATTATCAAAATAAAAAAAAAGCAAAAATAGAGATATGTTTTAAAAAAAGGGTCCAGTTGTTGTCGTCTGCCATAATTATTTTCATTGTATGCTACTAAATTTTTTTCGGCCCATGGTTTTCTTTTATAATTAATTCACATTTTTTTTTATCCCGGGACATTTTAAAGTTTCTATACCGTATTGGTCTTTTGCTCATTGTTAAAGGCCGAACGGTGACCTCAGTTATTTAAACATGTGAATAGTTTAAACAAACACAGCTACGGCAAATAATTTACTTTGATTTGTTTCATTGTAGACTTCATTTTTATATAGCAAGGCCATCATATAGAGTATACATCTGCCAGTTGATACAATATTACAGGCTTTGCTTATCTATCGTAATTATCTTGATTTATCTTGCAATCGACCTTTCTACTATACTAATACAGGTGTACAGATAACACGAAGCGATATACGTATACTAGACGTATATAGTCTCCTGGTATCCTGCTTCTGTTGCGAGCGAACGGTTATGTCAAATTACTGTTTACGTCACAGTTCAATTTGGGGACCTCATTGCTGTCCGCGTTTAAGTCATGTCGATTTCTTTCAAAAACAAATTCAACGTTTGGGATGGAAAAAAATTGTACAAATTTAATTGCAGGATAAAGACAATAACTGTTTAGTGTCTTTAAATATCAGCTGTATTTGTACACGGCTCGAAACAGGAGTAATAGCTCGCTGAAGCTCGCATTACACCTGTTTCTTAGCCTCGTACAAATACAGTTGATATTTAAAGACACTAAACAGTTATTGTATATATATTGAAGTTGATCACAAGGAAGCTATTAATCGAATGGTTCTAATGTTGAGTTCCTATGTTCGAACGTTTTATGATTTGGTTAACGACTAAGGAATCTAGGTCAGAAATCACCATGTATATGTTCAACTTGTCGCTATTAGAATTATGTCTCCCTTCCGTCGTGTGTGTAATCATCGAATGTGACATATCATTGGATTTTTACTAGGTTAGCAGGTACTGCTTACGCTTCCGGTGCACCTGATTTCATCCCTTATTCTTATTGCGAGGTTCTTCTTGCTTTTATCTTTTTTTGTTCTGTGTTGTTCTGTGCGATATTTTGTATTTGTGAATTTTGCTTGTATCAATTATCAGAAAAAACTCAACAGAGGTATCAGGCTCATAATTTGGTACGCCAGACGCGCGTTTCGTGTACAAAAAACTCATCAATTACGATTTGGTCGAAATAGTTTGAAGGAAGCAAGCTTGAATGACTGAATCTGTTGAAAAAGAAATCAAGCATTCTTACACTTTAATCTTGACTGCAATATCTCAGAGTAGATACCTTACAGCAATGAAATGGACGGTCGAGTAAATGATGTTTTTAGCAATGCTCCTGGTTGATTTGTCCAAAAGATTTCAATGCAATAGTAGTACAATAAATGAAGGAAGCATTTTAGTCGTGTTTCATAATGTACACATGCGAAATATTATTAATTTTCTCCTTGATATATAAATTAAAGAATCAATATTTTATTTGACTATAACCAAATCAAAGGGCCATTCTATTAATAGCTTTCTCTTAAAACAATTGTATCACATAAGGTTTCTTAGATATGAATACAAGGATATGTATGGTAAATGTTACTAAGATAAAATCAAAGAACAAAACAATCGAAATATCAACATAAAGTCTTCATCATTAAACTGTATCAATGCAAACACTGAGGTCTAGAATAAACTTTTGACACAGAGATGTGTCTTGCCTGTGTGTTATTATGATATTAAAATGAAAATGTTCAAATAAAAAAAAGCAATACTTTAACATGTAAGTTATGCAAAATATTAAGAGTCAATGAACCATGACTGAAGGTACATGGCCAAATAATCCATGGAAATAAGATATGTCAATGCTCATACAACTGCATACCGAATATCATTTGAATATTATAAGTGATTCCCCTTAAACTGATTTAATCACAAACTTAAACTTGTAACCTATGCAAAATTTTCAAACTCAATACATCATGATTGAGCGGGAAGGGACAAATAATCTCCATTGAATTGAGATGTGCCAATAGTTGTACAAATGCATACCATATAGCACTGACTAATTATAAGTGGTTTCCCTAAAATTGACCTTATCGTCCACTTTAACAAAAGGAAGTTCTTCGTGGTGAAAGAAAAACTAACAAATCTTTTCCCATTTCTTATTTTTTTTCATATTTTTCCAACTGATTTTGACATGGGTTATGAATGGTATTAACACTAACCTGCGTTGCTGTCTGTTTTGAAATGATGAAATATGCCACAATTCGAGGCATATATTTACATACGCAAACGTCATTATAATAACAGGTACTAGCAATAGAATATAAATCATGTAGATTTCATAGGCAACAGATATAGCAAATGAATTCCAGATCTTTCTGCACCAAATTGCCTCCCGATTAATGCCATGTACGATATGGTACTCCTGAAATGAGATTGAATGAATTGTATACAGTTTTACCAGTTCTAACGTTCGCACGTGATTCATGTATTTAAATCAGCATCAGCTCTCTTACTGTCCTTATGAATGTGTCCTTCCGTATTAATTTTTTTTATTTATATAACGGGAAAGAAAGGATATATTTTATCAATTCATGCCACTAAATCAATTCGTGCTTATGAAAAAAAGGCAGAGGAACAGCGTTGTTCTTTTCCATAAAATCAATGCGAGGCTTCTAAAATGAAGCAAATGTTCTCACCCCACTTCAACTTTAAGACGACTCCACACACCGTATAAATTTAAGTCGAAATTAAAGTGACAACGCCATGGCAAAACAATAAATGGAGAATGTGTCCATGGGACACAGATGATGCCCCCGCTTTCATAAAATGTTATAAAGGGACATAACTTAAGAACGGTAAAAGTGACGCCGCCCAAATTCGAACTCGATTTGCGTTTTGTAGTAATAAGCATTATGTATAAGTTTCATAACATTTGGTTGAGGCAAACTTAAGTTAGAGAAAGGAAACAAAAACATAACAATTTTTCCATTTGTAAAGGAGCATAACCCTAGAACAGTAACAGTGACGCTACCCAATTTAACACTTGATCTGTGTTTTGTGGTAATAAACAGTGTTTATCACATATTTGTTACGAATACGTTGGGTTTTGCATATGCAATAACCTCAAAATTGCCCGGGGCAAAAAAGAGGTTATTGGTTATTGTGCCCTGATTTCAAATGACGTGACGTCATTGCGTCCTTAACGACGGCGAACAATGACAGACTTTGTAGAGCAAATGAAATACGCTAACACAAGAAAAAAAACTGAAAGTGACATTAAAATTCTAAAGGAGTGGTCAAAAAGTGCCGGAGAATTACGCAATTGTGTATTGCCATATTCCAAAATAAGTGGAAATGTGACAATAAATTTCTATGGAGTAAATGATAAAAACTAAATTTGAAAATGTGATAAAACTTTTGTGATAAAATTTTTAAAAGATTTTACCCGTTATATTTCATTAAATTGTTATAATTGAACTTTTTTCCCCTTTCTGCAGAACTTAAATATGTGATAAATAGATTGTAACATGTCTTTTCCATATTGGCCCTGGTATCATCCCTCGACCCATATCGGCCCTCGGCTAAAGCCTCGAGGCCGATATGGGAGTCTCGGGATGATACCAGGGCCAATATGGAAAAGGGCATGTTATAATCTATACGTATAAGTTTCATAACATTTGGTTGAGGCATACTAAAGTTAGAGAACGGAAACCAATTACGGGACGTTAGTAAGGACGTACGTACGTACGAACGGACGGACGTACAAACGGACAAGGGTTACACTTAATGTCCCCTCCAAACTCATTGTAAACCAATAACAGATAAATAAGAAAATGGGTAGACGTCACGAACTTGCTAAACCCTAGAAGATAATACTTCTCTATAGGACAAGAAAAGCCACATCTGACAAATATAAGGAAAAAAAACATTAACATGCATACCCTCCCATAGAGTATAGGACATGCTAAAACCAAAGAAGCTATCCATAAAATACAAATAACTTTCTTTGCCCTTCCAACAGTACACACATATTTTGATCTGACTGGATGGAGTATAGCATAATACCTGAAAATATACGAAAATATTAAAATCATGAAATCTAGAAGTAAATTTTGATTCTTTAGTAAATGACAATAAAATCTAAAACAAAGAAACGTTAGATCTCATTTGTAGAGCCCTTTTACATGAACTGAACAACAATCGTTTGGTTCGGTTGCTTGCAGTAAGCTCATGCATAGCCTTCAAATGTACGTATCAATCAAATCTTAGTATTTATCATAACTATAGACCAAAACCCCGCCAGTGTCTTTCTACAAAATGCATTTTGATTGTAATGCTTGCGGAAGCTTTCAAACAAGCTAACCTTCCTTTTGTTGATCAGTCTTTTTGTAGAAGAGTTATTATCAAGTTAAAATAGAAAAAGATTTACTTCATTGCAAAACTATTTTAAATCCTAGTAACGAATCATATTTAAGTGTTTTTTGGCAATTATACAAAAATGATAGTTAATGAAAGTGATTCCTCTGTCGTCGCTGATGAGATGGCAATTTGAAAACAATTTAATAGTAAAGTGCACTATCGCTATACATGTATTTAATTCACATACATTTGTTTTTTTTTTTAAATTTTAAGTAGCATGGGGTTTGTATTTGTATTCAATTATAGTTTTACAGAATGATGTCATAACAGTATCTGGTTACCTTCACACATATATCTCATTAGATTTTGACGTATCAAAGCTTATTGTTTTTCTATTTAAAGAATTTTATAACCAAAGACAATATGCAATATTCATTTAGTATTCCAAAATAAAAGTTAATAAGAAAAATGTCTCATCTATTTACGTTTATCAACGTGATCTTAAATAGACAAGAGAGCCACTGTCTTCATTACTTATTCATGCATTTGTATGTTTAAGTTGCTTAGGAGCAAGACTTGCGCTTTGAATTGTTTGTTCCATTTGGAGTACACATTTTCTTTTTGTAATGAAGTTTTAAATTGCGTTTCAGATTACTATTCTATATGTGATTGTGTTAAATTTATTTCAGTCTGATTTATATAGCATAAGCGCATATTAGTTTTATCATTTATTACATTTAGCTAGGCCGAAATATGGAAATAATTCCTATATACGATAATCATCCCTTTGTCAACGTTATGACGTAGATTTTATGCCCAACAAACGCACAAATGACGCAATAGAGGTCGTCTAAAAGTAAATACTTTGACGGAAAGTTATCGATATGAATCAAGCGTGACTAGATGAATATCACTATATATTTAAGTGTATATATTTTGCTAAATAAAAAAAGAAGTGTATAGCCAATAAATATTACAATATCTGAAATGTACGAAAGTTGATAGGTCTTATAACATATTGTAAAATCCTAAGCACTATATTCATGGGATTTGCACCACGTGACTTCTATCCTTTTGATTAAATTTTTTCCCTTAGTTGTAGATTTCTATCAAATTGCGGATACTCAAGTCTTTTTCCGTCTTGAATCTAAAACTGACGTAAAGCTATCACTTTTATAATCAATGTTTCCTTAAACCATAGATGTATAAAACCTATACATCTATGCTAAACCTAAGGCAAACATTCACGGGAGATAACAATGATGTAATTAACTACCAACGCCTTTTCTTAAAACAAAAGTACAAGTCAAACTAGTTAGTTCTAAATTAGCATGAAATATTGGTTTGTAAGTGCTTTCCCTTCATTAAGATATAAAACGAGTAAATAAATCAGCCTGATCGTCAGCAATATCAAGTGAATCACTCTGAACGCTTGGTCCAAAATAGTATTATCAAGAAAGTGCAATTGTATTACGACAGTTGAGGTAATACATTACGAAATAGTGGCATATAAACAACGGAATGTACTTTCTCATGTTTTTAACATTTTGTGATTAAAATATCATCAGACAACTTAATGAGAAACCTTCAGTGAAAAACAACCTGTCAAATGACTTTTCTCTGTAAGAGACTTTTTAGTTCAAGCGAAAAATTTATTGCTCAATAGAAATAAATGATAGGAAATGAATGAATGTTGTGAAAAATAGTGTTTATATGCGACAAGAATAAAACAACAGAATTTTCCTGCAAATGACTGTTATTATAAAAGGGAAGGATTAAACTGAAGTAAATGGATATTAAATTCCATATGATAACGAAAGCGTCAAATCCGTGCTTGGCTTTCAGGGATATTTTTAGTGGCACTGCAATAATGAAAACAAATAGTTGCGTCTGTAAAACTTTATTTCCTATTTCCTATTGTTTAGATAATATGTCTATAGATACAGTCTAACGGTTGGTTTGGTCAGTTATTATGGACTTCACACGTCTGAATTTACCTTGGAGTTCGGTATATTTGCTATACTTTTTTTTTAAATAAATGATTATTATAACTTATAGAACTCATTGCTGTATTTTTGCTGTTAAATGTGTGTTTTCCTTTTCTTATCTACTGTGTAGTTTTGAACTGACAAGGAGGTGAAACAATCATAGCAGCGTCACGTGTTTTATACTGAAAATTATAAAAAATTCAACATGAAAATTTCTGTTTGTTAATATCTTTTCATGAATGCTAGAAGGCATGGTTACTTGTTAGATGTTTTTGCAATATATCAAATCCTATGTGTTTGTCATATTCGTGTTTCCCACCCTAACTGCCCTTCTCGTCACCCATCAACCCCTCCAATTATACAGAAATATCAAAATCTTTATTTCGTCATAAACTTTACATTGTCATATGTTGCGTTACGATAAAATTGGAGTCACTTTTTTCTATATTTGCTATATATCTATATAGTAAGGTATCACATAAAACGGAAATTCAAAGATTTCTACATTTTAACACATATGTAACGTTTGTTTGAAAAATGATATTATCATACAAAATGCTTTTATATTAGTTGAACAATCAATATTAATTCCACACATGTATCAAAACATATCCGTGTTGGAACTTTGTTTTGATATATGAAAGAATTATCATTAAGGTTAATAAGTTAATAAAATCTTATATTGCTATTTCTTTTTCAAATCTTCAAAATCAAGTACAGTGTTTTTAAAAATGTATATTAGTTAAATTAAATATTAACATATATTGAATATTTGCTAAACGAATTCCGCCTCTATATCTTTAAATCTTGAGATTCTGAAGGATTTCACCATCAAGAATTTGATTGTAATTCAATATCTAATTTGTTTCTTTTGATTATAATATCATGCAGCAAAGAAGAGATGCTAGTTGAAATAGTTATGCAATTAGAATAAAAATAAGGAAATGTGGTATGATTGAAGTTTAACTAGGACTGAAGAGTATAAAGCCTGTGGGATTAAAATATCTTAACATTTTCGTGCATTATTTGAATGCAAGTTTTACTTCTTAACTAAGTTCGATATATCGATAGAATGCCAAAGCCTCATTAATTGTTCTGAAATAAGATAACCGATTTTAATGAGATTTTAAATTGGCTTTATATGGATCGTAAAGACTTGAGTTTTGTGATGGAAATTAAAGAAAACATTTCTCAAAGGTTTTTTACTAACGAGCTCGGTATATTTTGTTTTCGTGCCGTAGTATGATTGACAGAGGCCTTAACAAGTCATGGATAGTCACTTAAGGTCTGGATTTTCTCAGCGCCATGGAAAACCATTGATTCCGTTTATTTAAGAATAAATGGGACTTTTAATTGTGTTGTAATAAAATTCCGTAGAAATGTTTCAGATTAAAGATTCTATTACAAGAATCTGCCAACAAAAAAAATTCGTAAATATATTTGTGTCAATAAAATCAAATGCAATATACCAAAAAAGAAAAAAGATCATGTGGATGCAAAAAAACCATACTACTTGTATTTGTGCATATACCTTATCTTATATTTTTATGTGACATGTGGTTTATTTCCTCGAGCTACAATGAATTATTTACCCCTTAAATATCCCCACCCCGCAAAAAAAAATTAAAAAAAAGTCTTTACAAATTAAAGGCATTAAGTAAGAAGTAGCAAAATCATGAAGAAAAAAATAAAAGTAGCAATACGGACATAAACGTTTTCAGTGCCGATGACAACACTTGTTCCTGGATAAACATTAACCAGCCTAGCTATACTGAGAGTGTAGGCTTCAAAATTTTCAGTATTATTAAGGTAATGAATTAACATTAGTGCTTAATCCGCTGACAACTCAAAATAAAAACTAGACGCGCAACTAAGATCACCAGTAAGTAGGATTGCAATCCCTTATTAGATGACAAATAAACTATCCGAAACAAACTTGACAATGCATAAACATTGTTAGGTTCATGGATTTAGCGTCATAGTGAAGAAAACATCCGTCAGTAAACGTTATTATAGTATTAACATCATTGATAAGCGTATTGCTTTCAAAAGTGAACATGAATATTGTCATAATAAGTGTAAAACACAAATATAAATATGCTAAACTGTTTCTCCAGTTCTTATGTTGGTATATAAAACTGATTATGGTTCTTTTTTTAATGACAGACAGAAAAATACTTCAATAGATTAAAAGACCCGATAAAGGATAACACAAACCATCAAGCGATGCTTTACAATAATTAAACTATTCACTTTCGATATTGGTGCTTTGGAAGATCTTAATAAAAAATTAGTGGGACAGAACACAAAACAAAATCATGTAGCACTACGATAAGCTCTAGGGATCAATTTATCCTTTTTATCACTTCATAATAAACTAAAGGGAAATCAGTTTTATTTTGTAAAATTAAAATGTGTACTACCATAAGCTGTAATATAACAGAAAGCATAAAGATTGAATCAAACATAAAATTGAGGTGGGATTCAGAAGGTTTGCACTATCTGCTCAACTAAGCTAAGGTCATGTTAAATCTTTTTAATACATCATTTTCGACAATCATCCACATACAAAACAAACAGCGATAATGTGACTACGACAATTGGAATACTTCTGTTGTAAAATAAAAATAAAAATACAACTTTATAAATTTCGTGTGTCCAAAGCACTTCTCTTGATTAACAGAACGCTCAAACCCAAACATTAGAAAACCAGTAATGTATATAAATACGTAGAAACGTTAGGAAATAAATGACCAAAAGGGACCAAACAAGAATAGCCAAATTCTTTAACTTTATAAAATAATCAGAGAGTTTACAATCGGAAAATTAGATTCATCTTTTTCAGTCATGCAATTGGAATGAAATCTCAACTCCACATTATTGATTTCTACGTCCATGCCGAGACACAGTAATATGTCTGGTAAACTTTGTTTCCAGTTCAATGAAAGAGACAAAATCGCCTACTTTTTCAAATTATTTTTTGAAATGGCATCATCTAGTGCAATGTCAAGTTAAAGGGTAATATGAGCATCTCTCCATTCTTCTTGAGAAGCCACTTCATGAAGTTTCCCTATAAAATCATATTGATGCACAACCATAAAAACCCATAGTCCTCTAGGAATACACACGATAATTTGCAACTAAAAAGCCAATTCATGACCGAAAATTTTAATCTTTTTTACATTTAGTCTCGCGAAATTGAAATTTAATTCAACTTTCCGCATAAGACGGACAACCATGTGTGTATGCTCTATATACGCTCATATCAATCATTCTATAAATACAGTATATATGATATTGCCGATAGCACAGAAAGCATAGTTGACAATGGAATTTATAGATTATTTACATATATTCCTAAATATGTATATGTATATTCAATGAAACAAATAATCACAAATAATTCAAATTTCAAAAATTATGAATATACGTACAACATAGCTGGAAAAATGTAAACCTAATATTTCCATAACTAAAAGATACCTGTTTCGGTAGGCTATCTGAAACACTCTGCAAATTGTTTAGATAATGTATGTTTAAACAATAATAAAAAAACAAAACAAACAATACTCTATCGTATTGCACATATTTCATCAATATACAACAATTGGTAAAATCTTTAAGATATCCGTGTTAAAAGCTATTAACATGGCATAACTATGAATATGTTTTGTGTCTGTACCACGTCAGAAATATGGCAGTTGTTTTTCACGCGTCCGTTGGTTGATAACACTTGATTTTGTAATTTTTTATGGACTTCCCCTTTTTGAATTTACCTTGGAGTACGGTATTTTTGTTATACTTTTTATCTAGCCAAAAAGAACAACCAAATGACTGATTATACAACTTGTTTGCTTTGTTGATTACAATATAATAAATTACGAGATGAGACAGACTTGAATGTATGTAGTTGTAATCATACTATCATCGTAAGTATCTATTTATGGTAGAGTTAAGCAAAAGCCTTTACCGATATTTTATATGGAAATCTTGATTTAACAGTTTTCTTAGAAATAATATACTACTTTTCCTATAAATAAGAGACATAAAAAATAAACCCAAAAACAGGAGACCCACGACATTTCATTTTAAAAAACCTGAATGTATTCAACAGACAAAGAAACGTCTTTCTTCTCGTAATGAATTTAGGTATGAAAACTTCATTTGGAAATTTATGCTTCATAGCCTAGAATGAGACAAATGATTGCAGTTAATGTTTGGTACTAAACATGGAAATATCTATATTGAATTTACTTCCGTGTTTATTGTACGTGCATGTATGAAGATAAATTTTGTCAGTACAAGGCAGTATCATGTAGACATACAATGATTATATCGACATCAAGGAACCTCGTCGGGGATTTACATCTTAGCAGACTTTTAATATTTGTTAAAAGCATGTATTGATGATATTTAGATACTACATAACTATAAACCTGTGTACAAACCTCTCTAAACTCATGGCTGTCAACGTTGACACGGAACAAATAGCTGATACATTCTGTATATAATACACGGCCTTACACATGAATTCTCCTAAATTCCATTGGAAAGAAAAGAAGGCTGCAAACTGCAAGAAAATAATTATACAAAATGAAATTTCTAGCTGTGCAATTTCTTATATCATGAAACTTTTTGTTACACGATCTAGATTTTCAGTTTTTAAATAACGTAGTTCTGATTTAACTTAGGTTGTAACTACCTGAGGCAAAGTTATACTTTTATATTTTTTCAGGCCATCAAATGTTACTCTGACAGGTATCCGTTATTTAGTATACTTTTGTTGTAAGATATATGTGTTCCATACATTTCTTGACCGGGTTAAATGAAGTTCAATTCCGACTTTTAGCATGTGGAATGTTTGATGGACTGGCCGGAAAAAGAAGATACTTGGTTTTTTTTTGTTATCAACTCCTTCTATGGTTATTAACTCTTTCGAGGAAGTTTGCATATACATGCATGTACATTGAAGTTTGGATAAACATATACATTGTAGTTTGCATATATATATACTTTAAAGTTTGCATATACATTGAAAATGTACACCTCACTTTGTGATATGGATAATTTTCGTAGATTTTTCATATGGTATTAAATATATGGCAATTCGATACAGGTTTAGGTCCATTTTGTATAATCAACTCCTCTTACAGTTTTCAACACAGAATCTTCAATGTTCTAGAATGATTGCATATACACAGAAAATCTGAAAATATCCACCCAAATTTGTATACTCAATTTGAAATTTGCTGCATATCTGGGTATTTCTTTACAGTATTTTCAATACGCAAAAATTGTTAATTTACAGCAGCCTTATCGTTTGAGACACTTCTCTTGTCTAGTTTAAGATTGTTTTTTTTCATGATGTGACAAAAAAAAAGAAAAAAAGAAAGAAAGGAGAAACATTTAAAAAAACATATTTTGTTTATGTCTGATGTGCATTTTGATATTGTCTGTATATCTTTATGATTGCCTTGTAGGTGCCTTCAAACTCTCTAGGGCTTCTCATCATTGTTTCAGACAACGAATCGACTTGACATTTATATATTTTTCTTTATTCTCGATAAATAATTTACCTTTGCTTTACATACGATTTACTGTTGACTTGTTTATGCAACACACAGAACATTAATAAAAGAAACAGTCATATTTCTTAATCAACGACCTTTATCAAATATTGGTTTTATCGTATACAAATTGTAATTCAAAACCCAGAGAAAGGATAAAATGAAATTTATTTCCCTTCCTGTTTGTTTGGCAATTATTTGTTCAGAAAAATGATATGAAATACTGAAACATATAATACTGCAAAATGTATGCTTATGTTATAAATTTTACAAAACTATATTCTTGTTATGACGCCATTCAACAATATATTCATGCTACTAAAAATATTAAAATAATATTGCAGCACAACGTGAAACGTAGAACGTAGATGTTCTTTAAAACCTATTTTTTTCTATGGTTTATGTGAGGTTTTCAGAAGACACGGCACAACAAAATATTGTCCTGTTATGAAATTAGAGTAGTTTACAGGGAACTGATGAAACTATGAATACCAAATACTCAGATACTTCACATGATTGGAGTCTTCATATCTCTCCACGAACAGTTCTCAATACTTTTAAGGATGTTCGACATACAGCAAAGATGCTCAAATGTGAATTAGAACACCAATATCCAAATATCTATGAACAGTTGATTGCGAGTAGAATTTATGATAATGTTAAAAATCTCCAGTTCATTCATGGGATATAAAAAGTCTTTTTGATTATTTGTTGCATTTCTTTGTTCAAAGGATGAAATGACATGGTTTTTTAATACAAATTGATTTGTATATTTTAAAGATGTTTGCTATGCAAAGTTACATAGAAACATGTAAAATTTGCAATATTGAATCAAACATCTGCATAACATGAAAGTGTAGTGCTGAATAACATTAAGATTTAGGGATGGTTTGGCAATTTCTAAAAACCCGTTAAAGTTTCTTTATTAGACTCTTTAAATTATCCTAATTCCAATAAGTTTTTACAACTTCCTGATTTTGAGTTTGCGAGAGAAAAAAATGCAAGGGGGATTGGTCATACCTTTTATCCATTATTTGTTGAAAAGACTGGAACTATTTACACATTAAACTAATTGTGGTCAATTTATCTCAGCAAACATATACGTAAAATGTGTTCCGTTAAGCCTGACATCTCAGGCAATAGTTTTTATGACCTTGCAGTCTTTGGACTTTACGTATAAGACGTTATTTTTATTAATGAATTAAAGCATACGTTTTATTACCACCTTTTAATTAATTTATATATTTGGCTATCCGTCAAATGACAAAGGGTCAGCGCTCTAGACGTATTTTTCTATTAAGTATAATCCATTTTAATATCTAGCTTAACATCCCTAAATAATCTGATGGTCAGTGCTGCAGACAGAAAATAGTGACATTCATTCTGGTTTATAGATATTCAATGGATTTTTCTCCATACCTATATCATTTGGGCTGATAACAACAACTGTACAAACATTAACGTTAAATGGGGCTATAATTTTTGTACATTTTAGTACACCACGAAGGTCTTTTTATTAATCATTCATTTATTTTGTCATGACAAAATTTCAGTCCTATTTGTGGTCACAGTATAGGAACAATATTGTGGAAATGAATATAAAAACTGCCTTTAAATGAAAACAAAACAGCCCCAATTAGCAGTATAAATACATACAACATCAAATATTCAACTTTTATCCTTTAAAATATTGTCTAGTAATTTCAAATAATTTTTTTTTCACAAATAAAAGATACGCGCTTCTGGCGTACAAAATTCTAATCCTGGTATCTACGATGAGTTTATTTATTAACGTTAATTATATATTTATCTAAACTTCGTTGTCGTGTCTTACTATAAAACAATGCCTTTATCTTTGCAGTTTGCCTTCAGAAATGTTGTCATGCGGTATATTCATACAAAGGTGTCAATTAGATGCGGATTCTTAAAAATTGTAAAGATCTAATCTAAAATTTTCAATCATAATCTTTACAATTTTGCAGTAATATCAGCACTTAAGATTTTTCTACGCTCTACGCTCCGTGCTCAATTGAAAGATTTACGGTTACGGTTACCGGTATATGCCTTAGAGGACGACCTACCAATTGGTAATTGCGCCCTGGTAATAAACATTTTGGACTAATCCTAAACATTTTTTTCTAATAGTTTAACTTTTAGTTTATTTATTTTATCATGTATGTGAGGGAGTAAATATTTATGGTTGATTCTGTTTTCTTTTTTTTTATTATGTTTATACCCAAAAAATCTTAATTGAAAACTTTCTAAAAACTAAATGTTGTAAAAATTGACTACATCGTCTTATCAAACAACGCTTTTCTTCACAAATGGGAATAGTACATGTAAATTCCATATTTTAGTTCATGGAAAATCTTACTTTGTGAAAAAAAACACCGATTCCTACAAAAATACACAAAAGATGGTATTATAAGAATGTTGGACGACATATTTGTTGAATTTAGTGGATTGATATTTCAAAAGACAGTCGGTACTCCAGTTTATAATAATTGTGCATGCCCCTACTGGCCAAATTGTTTTTGTACTCATCTGAAACAGAAATTCTACGGAATCTTCTCAAGCCAAAAAACGAAAAAGTATCTTGCAAAGATTTTAATTTCACTTCCAGATATATATATATATATATCAATGATGTCCTGTCAGTCAATAACCCACATTTCAGTAAGTGTTAGCAACTCATACACTCGCTCGTTATAGAGTTCATACGATTTCAATCGCTTATTTCGTTGGTCAGTGTCCTCTTATTCGATTAATGATATTTGAATATTATATAATAGGTTACAATTGTTTCTGTTTACATCATATTCACGAGAGAAAAATCAGAGTTATATTTAAAAATAAAGATCAAATAACTCAGGGAAAAAAACACAAAACCGGCCGCATACTTTAGCTACGGAGTAGGTTGTGAATTGACATTTTTAACCTCGATAGACTTCTTTAATTTAAGACGAGAATTATATGTTATTTATTCAGTAAAATGCAAAGATGTACATTATTTTACAACAGAGTCAATATAAAACAATCTAAACATTCATACGTGTACGTTGACTTTATGACCATAAAAGGCCAAAGAAATTACTTTTATTCATTTTAGAAATGCGTACAGATTGTCAAAAACTAAACTTTCACCAGAATTTGTAAAATATTTATAATAATTTAGTACTTATCGCTAACACAAAACATAGTAAGTAAAGACATCCCAAACCAAAACTGAATTTCTATTGAATATTAAGCCATATGTTTTTGTGCTGGCCATAAATTTTACTTTTAGAATATGAATGCAGTTCAATATTTAATCGAACAATGATGTACAAACTCATTAAAAATAACAGGCTTATAATTCAGTTCACAAAAAATACTCGTAAGTCAAACACATATCAGTATAGCAGTATAAGATTTTTTGTGAAAAGAGTCCCTGACCTTAGTTCGCTAGAACTATGACAAATAAAAAATAAATCAATAAACGAAAATATCGGAGCACTGAAAAAAAAATCAATACAAAACTTTAGAAAGATCTAATGCCATCTTTGCCTTTTCCCCTAAGAGGTTTCCACTTATTTTAATCTTTAATAAACAATAAATGTACAGAAATGACCGCATCAATGTTATTCAATGTCAGTACATGAGTCTCGTTTACTGGGCTGGTAATAAACCTAGATGCGAAACATTCACCAGAAGTGGCATCAATACATGGGTCGAAAATCTTATCAAAGATACCAGGCTTATTTTATATAATTTATTATGACAAGAGAACACTTGACCCCAAAATAGTTAGAAAACAAAATCAACTACAAAGTGAAAAAGTACTGAAAACTAAAAATTCCAAAAAGTTGTTCCTCGAATTTAATCACATCTTATTAACGGTGATTGTATAGAAAATATCGCATCAGTGACAGTTTATGTCAGCTTTGCAGTGTTGATTTCTAGTCTGGGAGGAATAACAATATGATTTTCTCGATATTGTTTTAATATAAA